GTTAGTGCCCCAACCCCCATGCAATTAAATCCCATTTAGCTGCAGCGACCTTTTGATTTGAACTTGTCATTCCTACAGCTGGTTTGGAGTTTAACAGCACTTTTAAATAATGAAAACAAAATGTCCTGTGAATTAATGGCGGAGTATTGAGAACCCTCCACCGGGAAATTCCTTCCGTGCTCCCACTTCTAATGGTAACACACACACACACAAAGTGGGGGGGGAAAGAGTACAGGCACATTTTAACATGTTGTAGCATATTTGTAAACATCGTTAATCATGGATTAGCAGATGGTAATGTTAATTGCACCTGTGGAAGTAACAAGACCTCAAGGTTGATTACATTTACAAACTCCGATTATCACTACGGTGCGGCTGGAGGATTCAACACAGTACCCAGAGGTATCATTATTCAGGAAGAACAGTCTGCAAAATGAATCAACAAGCAATATTTTCATCACGACCTCTTTATAAGGCTGACACAAACAAACTTGGGACAATTAACAGCGGTGGGGACCTGGGATATTGAATGGGTGGGGCGTTGGGTTTAACAAAGGGTATGTCTATACTACCCGCCGGATCGGCGGGCAGTGATCGATCCAGCAGGGGTCGATTTATCACATCTAGTCTAGATGCGATAAATTGACCCCCGAGTGCTCTCCCGTCGACTCCTGTACTCCACTGCCGCGAAAAGCGCAGGCAGGGTTGATGGGGGAGCGGCAGCAGTCGACTCACCGCAGTGAAGACACCGCGGTGAGTAAGTCTAAGTACGTCGACTTCAGCTACGTTATTCACGTAGCTGAAGTTGCGTAACTTAGATGGACCCTCCCCCCCCCAATGTAGACCAGGCCAAACATGAAACAGCTAACAAAATAATGACTGTGCAACTTTCTTGAAAACAGCTTCAGGAAAAAGTAGGAAGAGGAACTTTTTAAAAAGCTCTTTAAAGGGCCCAATTCTGGGACGTGCTAAATCTTCTCAACTCTCATTGATAGGAATGGGAATGGAGGAGACACGGGGCCAGGTTTTTAAAGATATTTAGACTACTAAAGATGCAGATAGACACCTAATGGGATTTTCAATGGGAGACAGACATTTAGGCACTTTTGAAAATCTCACTAGGCACCTATCTGCATCTTTAGACACTTAAATACCTTTAAAAATCTGGCTCGTTGAGCTTAGTGCCAGTGAAGTCAATGTGAATAGTGACAGACTGCTGAATCAGGGCCTAAGTGCCAATCCAGCATCAGATCCAACAGCATGCATCCATGGGGACTCTCAGTGGGAATCTATATGAGCATAGGGATCTGCACTAGCAGCTCTCAATGCAGGATTGGGACCTAAGTATTTTGGTAACATTAACCAGTCATCCTCTCAGAAACAAAACAGAATCACATTACACTGATTTCCAGACTTTACACTTCAAATCAGAACGACGAACAACTAGACAGGTTCCTGCAAAATCATTTTTAAATTCCTAAAAAGAACAAGCTGGGATTTGTTCACAACTTGGGATTGGCGGCATTGTGTGTATGTTGTTTTCACATTTAATGTTTGTATGCTTTAGGGGGAGAAGGTTAATTGGCATCACCTCTGAAAAGGGACATGTGTGAGCCTCAAAGAAATTAACATGCAGAGTTAATCGTATGCATGAGAGATGAGATATGTATGTGTAAACTTCTCTGAATTAGGAGCCAAAGTCAAACCAAATGGAAGTGAGTATTAACCCGTCTAAAGCTAAGAGAGCTGTGTCACACCCAGGCTGAATTTAACCCTGCATGAGGCAGAGTGCTGGAGTTTGGTGGGGGATTTTCCATCTGTCTTAGACATTTTAATTGTGTAAGAGCCAATAAAAACAGGCCTAGCCCAACAGGCTCAGTGTTGCAGCTTGGTTGGTAAGCTTAGAGGCGATCAAGATTATGTGGTTATAATTGTGGCAAAAAAAATACATCCACTTTGTGCACTGTATAGAGCGCAGGCACTGGGTAAATGGAAAACTCAGAGAACTTTGTTCACGAAACAGCATGGCATATCTAAAACAAATATGACATCGATATCCCTTTTAAGAAGATATCATAACAAGAAACAAGAATTTGATATGCACTGTATATTTGTTAAGAGGGGGCACTGCCAAGATACCAAAAGAAAGGGATCCAAAACTTTCCCCGATTAAACCTGAAAGAACGTGTAGGGCAGGCAGGGATGTTCAAGGAAGCCTGAGGGTACGGCTGCGCTACAGTAGAACTCCCACAGCTGGCCATGGCAGCTGACTCGGGCTCAAGGGGCTCTGACTGCAGGGCTATACAATTGCAGAGTACATGTTCAGGCTCAGGCTGGAGGTCCCGAGCCCGTATGTCTACATTGCAATTTTACAGCCCCACAGCCCGAGCCCCGCACGCCTACGGTGGCTTTATGGCCATGCAGACATATCCAAAGAGACTTGGACACATTGGCCCCAGTTAGGCAAAGCATTTAACTATGTGTTTAGCTTTATGCATGTACCTAAGTTCCATTGAAGTCCATGCACCTGAAGCACATGCTTAAGTACTTTCCTGACTAGGAAGGGACTTAAGTATTATTACTTGTCTTGCAGTAGTGCTCAGGAGCCAATGTCATGGATCAGGACCTCAAGGTGCTGTACAAACAAAACAAAAAGATGGTTCCTGCCCCCAGCGTATTTACACTCTAAGTATTGTAAGTATGACAGACCCAGACCAGTGGGGTACAGGAGTCTGGTAGAGGGCAAATATACTGGTCACTGGATGAGTAGTTTTCTGTTCCCTGAGTGACCAGAGCAGGGGCTGCACTAGAGTAATCAGGAACCTGCTAGAACCAGTTAAGGCAGGCAGGCTAATTAGGACACCTGGAGCCAATTAAGAAGCTGCTAGAATCAATTAAGGCAGGCTAATCAGGGCACCTGGGTTTTAAAAGGAGCTCACTTCAGTTTGTGGTGCGAGTGTGAGGAGCTGGGAGCAAGAGGCGCAAGGAGCTGAGAGTGAGAGGGTGTGCTGCTGGAGGACTGAGGAGCACAAGTGTTATCAGACACCAGGAGGAAGGTGTTTGGAGGAGGCCATGGGGAAGTAGCTCAGGGAGTTGTAGCTGTCATGCAGCTGTTACAGGAGGCACTATAGACAGCTGCAGTCCACAGGGCCCTGGGCTGGAACCCGGAGTAGAGGGCGGGCCCGGGTTCCCCCCCAAACCTCCCAATTGACCTGGACTGTGGGTTCTTCCAAAGGGGAAGGTCTCTGGGCTGTTCCCCAACCCACATGGTGAATCTCTGAGGCAAGAAAATCCGCCAATAAGCACAGGACCCACCAAGATAGAGGAGGAACTTTGTCACAGTATATGGCAAGAAACAACAGGTGGATATAGACAGATGTGAGAGCACCAGGAAACAAGGAGACAATACTGGTCAGCATGATGGGCAGTGGTCTTAGCCCAGCAGCTGCCTAATCACTGTCGAGTTTTAAGGTATAAGCACATTTTTAAATGCTTTCCTGAATTGGGCCCATTACAATTAATAGAATTTGGGTGTCCAGATCCCTTAGGCAGCTTTGACATTCTCAGCCTTCAAATCTCCTTTACTTTTCACCATTTGCACGGTCTGTTTGCACTTCATTCACTTTGAGCAATGAAAATGGAACTCTTTCCCTTTCACTTTACAGTCAAGGCAGTTCTCCTGCACTAAAACGATATTGGCCAGATTCCTAACATGGGAGGGCAGGGGCGGGGAAATGATTAAATGAATTTTAAAAATTTAAAAACTTTCAACTGAAAATAAAATATATTTGTATTTTTAGAAGTAGCTTCCATTTGTGTATGTGCAATTTTGCACGTGTAAACACCTAAATTTGCACTAACATCTGCTGCACACAGTACTATTAGAATTTATTAATTATTATTATTTGTCTTGTGAAAGCCCCAGTCATGCACCAGGACCCTTTGGTGTTAGGCGCTGTACAAACACAGAACAAGAAGGCAGTTTCTGCTCCCAAGGAGCTTCCAATCCAAGTATACGTGCAAATCTCATTGAGACAAATATTTGATTTTAGTTTGGGGTTGTAGGGGGTTTTTTGGTTTCTGTTTTAAAGCACAAAACCTAAATTTGGGGCTTAAACTAAATTAACGGAGTCCCTTTAAATAATGCCTCACTTGAACAGTGAAGATTGGGCATGAACCAGATGTACTCAGCTTTGTCTGGGCAAAGACACAATGTGCACAAAATACCTACTGAACTAATAAGGAAAATATTTTGCCAGTGTGTGTAGACACTTTGACTATTGAAAAATCATTGTAGAAGGGCAATTACTAAATTTTAAAATCAATTTGGTAAATATGTTCCTGAAAATAATCCATGACAAGCAGCAGGGAGGGAAAAATTGACTTTCAAATTACACACTCACGTTATTCATATCGAAGTATCAAAGAGATGGTATGTACAAACAGAAGTAATCAGCCAACATGTTTTGATCTTGCAGATGTACACAAAAATGACAATTAATAACTTCCTTTATGATATGAAGCTGGGAGTTTTTTACAGTTACATTACAGGGACAATTATATTCAAGCTCAAGGCTAAAAATAATGAAAGACTATAAAAACTACATTTTAACATTTAAAAATACCCAGGAAATTAACTGGAGAAGAAGGCAATGATCCAATTAACGAATCGCATTTATTAAATCAGGGGGCAAATTAGATAGCACAGAGCTCTGTCGCAAAGGGCATGATCCTGCCAGGGGGCCAAAGACCCTTGGCTCCTGTTGATTTCAATGGGATTCCAGGGTGCTCAGTGCTTCTTAGGAAGCTATCAGCATCTTGCAAGATAGGGGTCAAAATAGGGAGAGAAATTCTGATGGCAAATGATCGTGACTATCCCAGCCACCTGGTCCACTGCTGCAGTGAAACAAGGGTGAGAGCATCAAGTGACCCTCCCTCCATGGGGATTTGGATAGGAAGAACCCTAGAGAACAGAGAACGCAGTCCTGACTGGGTGTTAATACGCTTACAATACCTTTAATTCAGCATATATAAATACAGGAACAGATATGCAATTCTAAGTACTCAGTGCAGCTGTGGAGCTGGCAATGTGAATCATGCCTGTGTACACATGAGTGTCAATTCATACCCCTACCCTATGTCTGCATTAGACCTAATGTGGTCACTAGCACACCAGCTGTATTTCCATAGAGATCCAGCAGCGCATTAAAACACAGACTCATTAAAAATATTAAAAAACAATGTTGCTACCATGAAATGTACACTATACGCCACGGCCAGCCCTCGTCCTTTGATCCTCTGTTGCCAAATCAGATTACCTAAAAGAGTGAGAGCACAAGAATGAGAAAAAATAGAGAAGAAGGCAAGGAGTCTGACATCCCTTTTGGTAAATGCAATTAAACTACAAGATAAACAACTACAGTTTCTTATTTCTGATATGCACGTGCAAACTAATAGTGAGATCTATAAAACCTATGGAATAATCTACCAAGAGAAGTGGTGGAAACCTCTCTGCTTGGCACATTTAAAAACAAGATTGAACAAAGCACTTGCAACTGTACATACAACAGAGAACAATTATGCACTGGCCAGGGAGACCTAATAGGTCTTTCTCCACCTCTAAGCTCTTCACAAACTTAAAGCCAACTTCTGCTAGGCTTCCGCATGTGAGTAGGCATGGCTGACTTCTAAGGGTAAGACCGGCAAGATTTGGCTCTAAATTCTCACATTCTGACCTCCATATCCTCTCACTTCCAAATGCATTTCTTCCTTCTATGAGAGTGGAAAGCCACTGTTTACACAGCAGCATGTTGTGATATCAGGAAGTCAGGATTGGGACTTCACAACAGACAGGAGCTGGGTGGCAATAAACAATAACAACAGGAGGAGAATACAACAACGTAATGTTCCAAAAGTTCCCATCAGTCTCCACTCGTAACAGAACTGCTGTAGGTGTAGTGTGTGCAAAGTACTTTTGGAACCTTCAGGAAATGGGCAAAATAATTATCAAACATATTGACGTTATTTACAACCGCCTCTTTGTTAATGTGTAGCTTTGCTTTACTATTCTTAGACTTGAAATTACAAGTCATTTCTCAGCATACATACAGGATCAAATCAAACCTAAAAATGTGCCTCCCCTTGCCAACTAATTACATCCAAAAATCAGTTAGTACATAGAAAAATATATATACCTACCTATATGACAAGAATAAAGAAATGGCTTTATTCGCCTCTCCTGATGTTAACAAGGATGGATTTTGTTTGCTTCTAAGTCTCTAGAATCTTTCTTTCCTCCACAAATGCAAAAATGCATAGTGGGCACCACCTAATGGACAGAACAAGCGTTTTCCTTAATAACAACCTGAAATACAGGGAAAAAATTCATATGAACCTTTCTTTATCCCTAGCCTTTTTTATTACTATATTAAAACTGATTCATTCTGCACAGGAAACTAAACTGCTATATATCTACCAGAAAAGCATTACTACTCTCCAGCAACCAGTTGTTTCAATGTCACCTAATAGACAGCTCTCATCTTTAAATCTGATAACTACAAAGAATCTGAGTTCCAAAGAGCTGTGTTTCACAAAATAATAATTGTTTGCTTGGCCAGTGTTTTATTTTCTCAATTAAGAGTTGAAGGGGAAAATATAATTAAGCATAACCAGTCTGTTGCAGGGATGCTGCGCACCCACATCTTCCCTGGTTTGCAATAGAAAACGTGAGTGCTCAGCACCTTTGAAAATCAGGCCAAATAAAAGTAAAATGTCAAGAATTCAACACAAAATACAGATGATCACAATCTATTATTCATTTATATTACAGTTACACCAAAAGGCCTTAATATGAAATGTTTGGTAAGCACTATACAAACAGATGAAAGGAGACAGTTCGGTCCTGAAGAGCTTACAATGTTACTCTCCCCCTTTTACAGAAGGGGAACTGCGGCACAGAAAGATTAAGTGACTTGCTCAAGGTCACACTGAAAATCTGTGGCAGGGCAAATGTTAGAGTCATCTCTCAAGTCCCAGACCAATACCTTAACCTCTATGCGAACTTTTTTCTCTGACCTTGTCTCTGTGGAAAAGTTGCAAAGGTTTCATGTAATCCGTTTTTAAGGCAATATAGTTAAACCAGTGTAAATCCATGTAGATGCTCTTATTTTAGTTTAAGGGGGGCTTACACTGGTTTAAACTTAAATCTTTTCTCGATCAATTTAAGCTAAACTGAAAAAAGCCACTCCCATATCAGAATCAGTGTGTCTACACAGAAGTTTGACTCAGTTTAAGTCTACTGGTTTAAATTCACACCTCAGGTTATCCCAGTGCGTCTTTCCCATATAAACAAGTCCTCTATTTTATTAATGTAAAAAGGTACACAGATTCTGTCTTTGGAAAAACAATCTGAAACCATGCTTTAAGAAATGCCAAAAGCAACAATTTATAACAAAGGCCAGTCACTGGGATCTTGCTATGAGCTGCACAAGGCAGGCTATTTAGGTGCCAGCATCAAAGGAAAAATAATGTGTGCAAAGCAGCCACAAGACAATTCAGTTCTTGAAAACATTTGGCAGGTTAGTTTTAGAAACAAGGCAAACGTCAATGAACTTTGCCTGTGTAAGGCTTCAAGGTCCATTCCCTTTCTGAGAAACCATTCGTTTGATCAAGAAGGTTTTAAGGAGACTCTACAGTGCCAAGTATAACTGAATAGAAATATTAGTAAAAATAGCAAGCCAGAGGCACACACCTCAGATAATGCAAAAAGAAATCCTGAAGGAACGGCACCTTAATGAGCAGTAAGATTATTATGACTCTGTACATTTCAGCTCCCAAACATCCACCCTAAAGGAAATATTTCACGGCAACACATCTCTGCAGAAACCTAGGCCCATGTCAAGAACAAGAGGGAGAAATGGCTGAGTGTGAAGTAAAGAATGCAATCTCCCGTAGCATACTGAAAAAGATTATGGGCCAGAACCTGAGTTGATGTAAATCAGGTAGCTTCACTGGAGCTACACTGATTTATACCAGTTGAGCATCTCGCCCTTGGGGCAAGCCCGTATTCCTTGCACACCTGAAATTCTCATCAATTTCAGTGGCAATTTTGGGGTCTGCACAGGAATGCAGGAGCCAACCCCATAACTGCTCCAAAGAGGGGCTGCGATGAAGAGAGACTGCAAAAACAAAGCAACCAAAGAAAGTATTACTCTAAAAAAACCAAATCCCCTAACAGCAACAAATTGGGAAGAGAGCATTGTTTAGACTGAAAGTTCTTTGTGGCAGGGAGGGTTTCATTTATTATGTGCTTATGCAGCACCTAGCACGATGAGGCCCAATCTGATTGTGGCCTTTAAGAGCTACCAAAATACAAATGTAACAGAGATTCAGACCCACTGCATCTAATAGAACCTACAGCAGCCCCAAAAGGAATTTACGTACATGAAAACGTGCTAGGACATCACCTTCCTTCCTACTAAATAAGCCAAGGCAAATCCAGGCAACGGAATGGAGACTGGGCTGGCAGACACCACAGCTTTTCCAAAGACTGTGAAACCAGCCACCGGCCTGAAGCATCTGAAAAACTTTCAGATTCACAGACCAGAGTTTACAGACTTCATTTAGCTCACAGGCAAGTCTAATTAGTCTCTCTGAGTGATTTAGCTGCTCATTTGGAAGGGGGGGATGGAGTAAGCTAAATTGTTTGAAATTATCCCTAAAGGGTACTGTAAATCAAGTGTTAATGACTGATCCTATGCAAAGGGCCACAGTAACTAAATAAAATAGTCAAGGTGCTAAGCGATAACATTCATTTTGTTTTCAATAATTTAGCAAGTGTGGTTTTCAAGCCAGAAATATTTGCAAATGAAACCCCCATCACATACACCCCCTCACCCAAATGCAAGGCAAGATGCTGAACGTCATGAATTCCCATTGACTTCACTGGGAGTTGAAGGTGCTGGGGTGTTCAGCATCCTACAGGACCAGAACCATAACGAAAGAGGAACATTCACAATATGAATGAAAGAACATGCTAGTGAATCCATATCCTTGTTCCTCACCCAGAGCTCACACAAATATGCTGTGTCCTGGTTCACTAATCATGTGGTGGGTTTATATATGAGAGAGAACAAAAGGAACAATTTAATACAAATCTACAACAAATCTTTAGACAGTTTTATTTCAATGGGTTACTTTTTTCCCCCTCAACTGAGTTTCATTATAGGTCACATCTGTCACACGATTGAGTTCACCGACCTATTTTACAGTCAAATTCAATGCAACATGTTTTCAGATGTTCAAACAGTGATGTGGAATGGGAAACACCATCACACTATGAAAAAAATACAGAATAGGCCCGATTCTGCAGTCCTTATTCCAGCAAAGATCTCACTGGGAATGAGTTCTGTAAAGGAGTGTTAGTGTACCCAAGGTTCATTTATTTTAATGGCTGTTTTGCATCAGTATACACAGAGAGATTTGGCTCCCTGTTTTTAAAATCTAGCTTTCTCTCTGTCACATTTTCTTTTAATCTTGTCTCTTGGAGTTTATGTATTCAACAGGTTCCTGGAGCTTTTAGCAGTCTGTAAACACAGCATGATGAAGCCACTGCATCCAATACTCAGGTGGAACATTGTGCAGAGACAACCTGGAGTGCAGGACATTGGACATAACCTGGAATGGTATCTGGAATCTTCTAAAGTTTAAGTTGAACATTCTACAGCAGAAGTTTCAGTGTTTACTTTCTTCTTAGCTTCTCAGGAGCTCACAGCTGTAGAAAGACTCTGGAAAGTGCAACAGGGTGTCTGCCTCTACTGATTGTCAGTGAAGCCACACAACACTGAACTGTTTTCCCTGCTCAAAAAGGTTGGATTTTTAAAGATCTACGCAATTCACGGTAAAATCATATTCCGTTACTTTATTTTTTGGCTGCATATAGAATGCAAGAGAATCCCTGCAAAAAAACAAAAAGGCATCACTAATAGAAACTCATCCTGAAAATGTTTATCTTTAAAGAAACAGGAATTGCAATCAGTTTGAGCAATTAAATTATTTTTACCAGTAGCAACAGAAACATTTAATGATTCAATCCCAGGCTGCAACGTTCTTCCAGGAGGGATGATTAGCATCCTGTGGCACAAACTTCGTGTCTCCGAAGATAGCCCATACCCTTCATTCCCTGCAGAAAAAAGATATTGTATGGGTATGTTCATGCATTTGTGTCGCCAACTTCACACATTTTCACAACTCTGCCACTGATTTATGAATAAACCCGTCAACAAATGCCTTTTTAAAATAAAACCAGAACACCCCCCTGACCAATGCTGACTCACAGGAGTTGTCCCATTGACTTTGATAGGACAATATACATGATCAAGAGCAGTTTTGCAGGATCCAGCTGTTAAATTGAAATCGGAGGTAACAAATGACAGCAATGTATCTAGTTTTCCCTACTGGCCCATTTCAACCTATCTGGATTTGTTTGTAGAGCTCATGGGAGTTTCTGAGCCAGTGCTAATACCTTGCGCTTCTGCAGCACTTTCATTACAAAGCCTCACAGCACCCTTTCAAGGGCCAGGGGAAATCCTTCCCTATTCCCAATGTAGAGCAATGCATAGCTGATCAGGTACATTACAGGAGGAAGCTTCATAGTGTCCAATGCTGGAAGCTGAATATAGGGGTTGATGGACCAATGGTCTGATCTGGTACAGCAACTCGTATGTCTCTATTGATATTGACTTGTTCAACTTTTCCAGTAGACGATACTACCAGCTGGGTGCAACTCGTGAACACAGAGAGTTTAACAAGAGGTTTCAATTGATTAGTTGCTAAACCATCCAACAACCCCAATATGTTTGACCTGATACACTAGTGAAGCAGAGTAGAAATCTATGCCAGGTCATTAGTAGTAGTTTGGCTTGTATTGTCACAAAGGAAAATGGAAAGGGAGCTGCTTAAAACAATTCCACTTGTAGACAAATGAATACAGAAGGCCCAGGCTAACCCCAGTACCATCCCCCTACCTCGGACTCCAGATCGGCTCTATTATCAAAAGGTGTTTTCGTGTTCATTATTTATCGAGCTCCACGGGTGCACCTGGTACAGTTTAGACAAAGACAGAATAAGGTCCCTGGTCTGCAGCCAACAGAATAGATCCATGGAACAGGAAGCCACCCATTCCCCTTTCTTAGCCTTGCCAAAAAGGGATTGTTAATAGACACACTGGCCATCTCTACTAGATTTTAGACGTATTACTCTAGAATCTAGCAGCTGTCCTACATGCTGGAATTGTCTCTGTAAAATGCCTGCAAGCCTCCATCTTCTGATGCTGTCACCAAATCATCTCTCCAGTCTTTCTAAGGTACTTATATTGCCACCATTGCTGTACTATCTGAACACCTCAGTCTTTAATATATTTATCCACTCAACACCCCAGTGAGATAGGGCAGTGCTATTATTCCCATACTATGGATTGGAAACTGAGACACAGAGCAGCTAAGGTGACTTGCCCAAGGTCACACAGGCAGTCTGAGGCAGAGCAGGGACTCAAACCTGGGTCTCCCAGGCTAGCATCCCAACCACTGGGTCACCATTCCTCTCAGTCACAAGATGTTGGTGGGAAAAGCAAGGATTTCACCTTCCCCTCTACTTTTTCTTGATTTGATACAGAAGAGAAAAGTTTTATAACTTCAAGCAACATTCGTCTCATCAGCCTTTCGCGCTCATATTCTGGTGTGTTCCTTCAGCTTGGGACAGCAGCTATTGTCAGATATGTCATGTTTCCTGGAACACTCCCTTTCTCTCACTGATAAGGGTCTTATGATTCCCAATAAAAGCAGCAATTTTGCTTCCAGCTTTTACAAAGCTTTTTATGGCCTTAGTCGCTTAAGATAATTAGAACCCATAAATTCAGGGCAAAAAGACTTGCAGATAGAGAATGATGTGGGAGGGAGTGCTGATGGAATCAGATAAAATAATACAAGATGCTAGTTTATATTGCTGCACAAAACATTTACCACTTTGGCTCTTTGACTTTAATCTCATAGTTTTATCTCAGAGTGCAGCTGAAATGCAATCATTTAATTATTATTTTTTATCCCCATTTCTGACTGTAATATTGTTCAGGGTGTGGCCTGATGATTCTGGGGGTCGATAATGGGATGCAGAGCCTTTCATCTCTAAGTTAGGATTTGCCAGACGGGATCAGACCATGGTCCATTTAGTCAGGGGTGAAAGTAACTTAAAGGACTTACCGGTATTGCCAGGAGTCCCGGGCCCTTTAAATCGCCCTGCCAGTACAGTCGGCTGTGTACCGGCTCTTGCCAGTACGCCGGACCGGACCGGCTTACTTTCACCTCCACATTTAGTCCAGTATCCCATCTCCATAGTGACCAGCCCCTGATGCTTCAGAGGACAGTGCAAAAAACCTCCTACACCACATAGTTAGAACTTGGCTTACGCCATGAAGCATGATGTTGAATATCACGGCCAGAATTTATGTTATCATTAACTATTGTAACGTTGGATGTTGACAGCTCAAATCCAGCCAAAATAAGCACCGACCAAAAGATGATGGTTGTTCAGTGGCCTGTTAAAAATGAATTTGATTGATCTAAGTGGACAGGTGTCCAAATAAACAAAACCATGGTAGGCACCCTTATTCCCAGACTCAGCACCCATGCCAAGAACTGAAAGGATATGCAGAGCTGGCAGGACAGGAAAGGGAGTTAATCCTATCCCGGCCCATGCAGAGACCTTCAGTCTCTAGGGAAGTCAATCTGTTGCCTTAGGCATTGACTTTGCACACAGACAACATTAAGAGATATTGTTCAGATCATTCTCTTTGGCAAGCGAGCAAGACTGTAGCTGACTAGGATGCTGGGAAGGCAAATTCAAGTCTGTAACACTTTTCTTATAAGACAGTGTGTGGGGAAGCTTGCTTCCACACTAATTTATTGCTGCTCTTCTCTGTTTGCTGCCACAGGTACGCTACATATTTAGATCCAGGACATTTCTTCAAACAACCCCAGTATCACACAACTCCATAATGTTCAATTTTCTTTTCAGCGAAGAGTTAGTGCTCAGTAGAGAGTTGAAGTCATTACTGTTGTAAGGTTTGGGAACTCTTCTCATGCATCTACCAATCAGCCTCCAGTCTCCCCTGACAAAAGAATATTTGGACTTTTTCCTGGAAAAATCTCTTATAATTCAAGGTAATGACACTGCTGTCACTTTCTCTCTCTTCCTTTCTCTTGCTGTTGTCATCGTTTCTGGTATGTATTTCTTTGTGGTCCATCATCTGCATTGCCAGCCTTTCTATTCCCTTTGTAATATAGTGCCACACATCTTGTAGAGATGCCAGATTTGCTGTGTTGTCTTGTCAGTATTTCCTGGAGTTCAATAAACATTTTAATTAAAGAAATGTCTTCAGAGCCAAGTAAATGGTAGCATCAGGCAGGATTACAGCCCCTCAATGGCTGATCGTCAACATGACATTACCCTTCAGTGCAATGGTTCAAACCACCTTCGTTGCCTGCTGACATGGAGCAGCAAAAAGGGCTTCCAAATATGCATTCCTGGATGATTCTGCAATGTTTCTTACTTCAGCTGTAACGTCCACTTGCTTCTCTACCATTCAGACCATATAAACTCAAACATTTCTCCATAAAAGACACCATCTTGGTAAATTCATTGCAACCATCTCCTTTATCTGCTTAAGATAAGTTTGGGGGGAGGAGGGATGTGCATTGCTCAGGGGTCAAGTAACAAACTACAGTTGCTCCAAATGAGAAAGAGGTTGGAAGTGACCAAAAGTTAATATTGTATCTCCGTGGCTCTCAACCTTTCCTGACTACTGTACCCCTTTTCAGGAGTCTGATTTGTCTTGCATACTCCCAAGTTTCACCTCACTTAAAAACTACTTGCTTACAAAAATCAGATATTAAAAACACAAAGTGTCACAGCACACTATTACTGAAAAATTGCTTACGTTCCAATTTTTACCATATGATTATAAAATAAATCAATTTGAATATAAATATTTTACTTACATTTCAGCATATAGTGTATAGAGCAGTATAAACAAGTCATTGTCTGTATGAAATTTTAGTTTGTACTAACTTTGCTAGTGTAGCCTGCTGTAAAACTAGGCAAATATCTAGATGAGTTGATGTACACCCTGGAAGACCTCTGAGTACACCCAGAGGTACACATACCCCTGGCTTGAGAACCACTGATGGCTGTTTGGTAGCCACCTGTGTGAAATGAGCAGCTAGATCCTATATCCGCTGGGGCAGCTGTCCACATTATCAAAGCTACCCATGTAATGGACACTCTTGTTGGCAATCTCAGTAGAGGCCAAGCCTGTATAGCATGGAGACTTACCTGCACTCATCCCCTTAGAAATGCCATCCTGCACCTGTCTGAGCACTTACAAATTTAGAGCCATGTACACATGAACACTGAACTCCCTGGCCACTACATCAGCACTAGTTTAAGAGGTGACGTCTCCATATCACGCACCTTCACCCCAGTTAAAGTTTTGCACCGTACCATACCTAATACTAAAACAGTGGGTTTATTCCAGTGAAACTCTAAGCAGCTGATGACGGGGACCTTATCCTCGACCTCAGATTTGCTGACTGTTCCTATGACTTCCCAGCCTTCTTCAGTTTTAGCCTTAGAAAGAAAAGGGGACAAAAAAGAAAAATATGATTCCAGGTTCTTTAAATGTATAAGAACAATACATACACATACAAGCTTTTAGATTTTCAGCACAAACATGCAGCTAACCTACTTTGCTTCTTTTTGTTTGTTTGTTTTTTTAATACATCTAGGTCTTGTTTACACTTAAAACTTATACCAATATAGCTATACCGGCAAAACCCTGCAACTGTAGAGATAGCTTGCTACCGTTTCAGGGTAACTGCACCTGTAACCCCACCCCCATGGGCCACTCCAGAAGTTCCCAGTCAGGTCTCTGGGAGGGACCCTTCTCCCACTCCCTTCTGACCGGGGATTTTTAAGGCTGGACAGCTCCCTGCTGTGATATCCCCAGCAGACCAGCCTGCTGCTCTTTCCGAGGGCTATGAACAGTGTATTCCCAGCTGTTACAAGTTACCACACAGCTCTTTCCAAGCACACACATATTTTCTAAAGGTAGAAAGAATTACAGAGAAAACACAGAAAACAGTAAACAGATTTAAACACACACGAAACATACCAGGAATTACCCATCAGTCTTATGAGGCCCTAGTAGGCCAAAATCTTTCCAACCCTTCCGCAAGGGTCAGGATCCCTCTTGTCCGTTCACTGGATCAGAAAGAAGGCCCTGAGTCAGTTCAAACCCAGCCTTTTAATACCAAAATCCCTTTCTTTGTCTGTTGGTTTCTGGGAAAACCAGTTTGAATCAGTACATGCAAACCTCCCAAGAAGGTGGTACCTCTCTGGAGGTGTTTGCAATCTAAGTGTTTCACTTTAATCGAACTCCACTGTTTCTGGTTCCTGGAGAGCTGTGGTAACCCTCCCACAGAGTTGTATATAAATTTAACACAATGCCCCCAAAGATACTGCATGGGGTTGCAAATATCTGTCACATAGCTTATACCAGCAAAAAAGTGCTTTTGCTGGCATAACTTATTCCAGTCCGGTGAGCAAAATAAACTATGCTGGCAAAAGGAATTTTTTGCCGCTGTAGCTGCATCTCCACTAGGATTTCTGCCAGCATTGCTAAGTCCCTAAAAAAAATATCACCCCTGTAACCAATACAGCTACGCCTGCAAAACGTTAAGCGTAGACCTGTCTTTAAAAGCCCAAACCAAAATTTTCAAACTTGGATGCCTAAAATTATGCCCTTAAATATGCTACCTGATTTTCAAACACTCTGAGCACTTTCAGCTCTCAATGTCCTTACCTAACTAGTGGGTCAATTCTGCTTCCCTTACTCTTGTTGAGTGGCAGCTTAGGCTTGGTCTACACTAACCCCCCAAATCGAACTAAGGTACGCAACTTCAGCTACGTGAATAACGTAGCTGAAGTTCGAAGTACCTTAGTTCGATCTTACCTCGGTCCACACGCGGCAGGCAGGCTCCCCCGTCGACTCCGCGGTACTCCTCTCGCCGAGCAGGAGTACTGCAGTCGACGGCGAGCACTTCCGGGTTCGACTTATCGCGTCCAGACAAGACGCGATAAGTCGAACCCAGAAGTTCGATTGCCAGCCGCCGAACTAGCAGCTGGGTATAGACGTACCCTTAGAAGACTAGCAATCCTGTTTTATTTGACAAAATCTCAGTACAGGTGCCTTAATTTGGCCAGGGTCCCTTTAACTAGAAAATCCACTTTAACAAGAGTCAAGTTGCTGCTTCTTGCCAACCTCATTTCCTGTGAAATCTGCACTTTTTACATTACACTACATTAAATTTACACTCCTGTGATGCCACAGGTTAGACTGACCAATCTGGGTCCAATTAAATGGACTGCAGCAATGGCCCAAAATGTTAATAAATTGAGCTTTATAGTAACACGGTGATTCTTCCAGGTGTTTCAATTAAATATCAATATCTTTTATGTGCTTTTTATCTCACTATCATCCAGAGCTCCGGCTGCCATAGATCTATGGTGGGGCTGGAGAAGGTTTCCAGCTTTGCACTGGAAGGAAGGGGGCTAGAGATCTCGGTACCTCCCTGGTGGTCAAAACAGGATATGCAGGGAGAAAAATACTGACTTCTTGGGATCTCCACCAACAGAAGTTGGTCCAATAAAAGATATTACCTCACCTACCTTGTCTCTCTAATACCTTGGAACCAACACAGCTACAACTACACAGCAAACAAGTGTGAACTCCACAGGCATTTCTGTAACACCAACTCCACGCAATTCACTGGCCTCCAAACACTCCTCCAAAACTGATCAGATACTCTCTCTAATGTGAAGTAAGGATGCCAACTTTCTAATCACACAAAACTGAACACCCTTGCCCCGCCTCTTCCCCGAGGCCCCGCCCCGCTCCCTCCATCCCCCCTCCCTCCATCGCTTACTCTCTCCCACCTCACTCACTTTCACCAGGCTGAGGCAGGGGGTTGGGGTGCGGAAGGGAGTGAGGGCTCCGGCTGGAGGTGTGGTCTTTGGGGTGGGGCCAGAAATGAGGGTTCAAGATGCAGGAGGGGGCTCTGGGGTGGGGCAATGGGTTGGGGTGCAGGAAGGAGTGAGGCTCCGGCTGGGGGTATGGGCTCTGGGGTGCGGCCGGGGTTTGGGGTGCAGGAGGGAGCTCCGGGCTGGGGCCGAGGGCTTCAGAGTGTGGGAGGGGGCTCAGGGCTGGGGCAGAGGGTTGGGGTGTGGGCTCTGGGAGGGAGTTTGGGTGCGGGAGGGGTCTCAAGGCTGAGGCAGGGTGTTGGGGTGCAGGAGGGTATTCGAGGTGCAGGCCAATGGGAGCTGCGGAACCGCTGCTCAGGGCAAGGGGAGCGTGCAGAGCCCCCGTAGCCACCCCTGCACCTAGGAGCCGGACATGCTGGCCGCTTCCGGGAGCCACGCGGTGCAAGGGCAGGCAGGGAGCCTGCCTTGGCCCTGTTGCGCCACCAACCGGACTTTTAGCAGCCCGGTCAGTAGTGCTGACTGGAGCCGCCAGGGTCCCTTTTCAACTGGGTGTTCCGGTCGAAAACCGGACGCCTGGCAACCCTAATGCAAGGATATTTTTTGTTTTAAGAGTCTTTTCAAAGCCTTCTCCCGCTTCCGTGGAGTCATTCGTCAGAGGCTTCATTATGGAGCTCAAATCTCCAGATTCATTTTGTAGCTGCCACTCCAACAAGGTTCACAGCATTTCAACCCACCCACGGTTTCTCTTTTCCTCTACATTTTAACTGCTGCACAATGCTGCCCTCATGTGAGCAGCCTTTGAGCAGCAGCCTGTAGCTGGTGGTGCATGAGACAGAGAAACAATGCGCAGACTCAACAGAGGCCTCACCGGGTATGTCTACACTGCAGCTGAGAGCGAGCGTCCCGGCCCAGGAAAGACAGGCAGGCGCTAGCTCCACTCAAGCTAGCTCACTAAAAATAGCAGTGTGGAGGTTGCAGCATGGGCGGTAGCACGCACTAGCCGCACAATTATCAGCTCGTCTGACCCAGTGGATCCACGCGAGGATAACCAGATGTCCCGGTTTTATAGGGACAGTCCCGATTTTTGGGTCTTTTTCTTATGTAGGCTCCTATTACCCCCCTCCCTCTGTCCCCTGACCACTTGCTGTCTGGTCACCCTAATCCACGCTCAGGTGGCGAGCCCGTACCGCTGCCCATGCTGCAATGTCCACACAGCTGTCCACCTAGGCTGGGAGCCTTCCTCCCAGCTGCAGTGCAGACACGCTCCTAAAGGCGATCGCAGAGCTGCCTACTTGCTCTGGGCTCAGTGACGTGGCTGCTTCAGTTTCTTTCTCTCAGGCTCCTTAATAACTTCACAAAGGCTTTTGTGTATCAGCTAACACCCCTTCTTGGGATCTGGTTTATTAATGCCAAGTTCTAGAGGGAACAAACCCCCTGCTGAAGCTTCTCCTTCAGCAAGCTTGGTCTCTACACTCTAGCCTCTCTAGCGGGTATTAGCTCTTGCACTTCCCAGGCCCTGTGCCTGGGAGCTAAGAAGAGTTGTGTAGACCTGCTCACACAATCCTCCTGCTCCCTTTTCAACTTCCCCCTCAGAAAGCCTGATTTAGCCGCATGACCTGCCTGTCATGTGACATTATCATTCTCTCCACCTGTTAAGTGTCACGGGTGGGGCTGGGACCCATCTCCCTTTAAAGGGTCAGTCACACCGTGACAGGTGTAGGGTACAAATTTCAAAAGCAACTAAGTGACTCATGAGCCTAAATCCCATTTTTCAAAGTAACTTAAGTCTCTGAAAATGGGATTCAGTCGATTTTGAAAACCATACCCATAAGTTACATCAATATTAGATCTGTTCTCTATGCACATTTAGGGGGATTTTCAGAAGCACATAAGTGATATAGGACCACACGTGCCGTTGACTTTCAATAGGAGTTGTGTTCCTAAGTGACTTAGGTGCTTTTGAAAATTCCCTTTGCTCTTTAAGGGATATTCATTCAAAAGGAGTACAGGGTGCTTAGTTCAAAAGCATCAACCCTGACACCATGGAAGCAGGTGCCTTTATTTGTTTCAGTTTATAAAAATGTTCCTATATGAAGCATTAAAATCTATACCCATTGATACAAGAGAGCTACTCACTTGGCCCTGCAATGCATTTATTGCACTTATTTACTGATTTTAGCTCCCTGAGAAAGCAGACACTGCACAGTCTCCTTTGGCTTGAACCATTGTCTGCAACCAGTGGGGAGTTCTCCCACAGACGCCTTGGACCAAGGCTGTTACTTGTCTAAAAACAGTTTGGGATTTTTATCTAGTTAGATTGTAAACTCACTGGAGCAGGAACCATCTTCATGTTATATATTTGTACAGCGCCTAGCACAACGGGGCCTTAATCCCTGATTGGGGTCATAGGCACCAACACAATACAAATAAATAATTAAGTGTCTGAACCAGATTCTCATGGCTGAGGAGAATCAGAATAAGTGGCAGTGCTGTTATTGTTCAGCTAATACATGGTTTGGTGGCCTAAAATAAGCAGTTGATATATATTTATTTTAAATTCCCTTAGCTGTTTAAGGGATATTCATGCTAAAAGGTTACAAGGTGCTTAGTTCAAAAGCATCAACCCAGGCAAGTGCCTTTATTTACTTGATAGATAAAGATTTAGCTTATAAATATAGATAGGATATGTGTGTAACAGTCTATAACTGCACCAAATGTTGTAAAAAAGTGATCTCCCCTACTGACAGGCCACACGATCTAGCTGGTGAGATGGCCTGAAAGTTTTTGGGACCTTTAGTGGTAAAAGGACAAAGAAAAAAAAAAGAAAGCTGGGTTCTTCTACCTTCAGAAATCTCTGGAGATTATCTGTGCTGTATACCTCCAAAACTTCCATGGCTCCAGAGCTTGCTTTGCTCACCGTAGGAGTAAGGGGGCAGCTGTGAGTAGAGAAGCCAAGAAAAGTTCCAAGTTAAAACAAAGCAAAACAAAAACCCTGAAAAACTGTTTTTGCTAGCTCATCCGATTGCCTTCACGACTCACTTTAAATCAGTTTACAAATGATTCTACTCACTTTATAGATGCACTTTCTTATAGGGAATGGGAGGTTTTGACAGGAACACAGGGACAAGGCTGGAGGAGCACTTTTGAGCACAATTAACATCAAGACTAACTAAAAATGATAACAAAACAAAACTTCTCATCAAACCAAGTTTAAATACAACTGGCTATCTTTATATGTACCTACTGCACTGGTGACTCCTTCCCATTGTTAAAAATCTATGTGAATCCTAGCCTTGCATACATGAGACCCTTGTGCCACACGCCTGTATCAGCGGGGCTAATCCCCTATTTGCCTCCCTCAGCAGAAGCTGTTCAGAAGAGAGAAGGCAGTGAGAAGCGAGCATCCCTCCCACCATCACTGGCCACACAAGGCTTCTCCACTGTCCTCCTTAAAATCACCTCTGCTGTGATGCCTACAATGCAATAGTTAGGCTGCTGGTCTGCTGTGACCATTGCTCATCACCCTGCTCTTAATCCTCTTGCTATTCCCTTGTGCTCCCCATGTCTGTCCATCTCCACCTGTTGTTTCTCATCTTATACTTAGATTGTACTTTCTTTAGGGCAGGGATTATCTTTATGTTATTTGCATGCCCAGTGCCTAGCACGGTGGCACCTTGCTCCCGGACTGGGGCCTCTAGGTGCGACCTTAATTGTTCTACTACAAAATAATCATGTTCCCTCTGCATTAAAATATATCTCCAAAAAAAAAACCACAGTGGTGGAGTGGCTCAGCAAATGATATTGATCAGAAAAGCACAGCTCAGAGGTGCAAGAATGCATTCATCCCTGGAATGAGAACAGCAGGGACATGGCCAAATCTTGCAATCCTGCAAGCAGCAGTCTTGCACTTTTGAATCTAGAGGCAGAGTGACTAGAATAAACATACACCTCTACCCCGATATAACGCTGTCCTCGGGAGCCAAAAAATTTTACCACATTATAGGTGAAACCGCATTATATCAAACTTGCTTTGATCCACCGGAGCGCGCAGCCCCACCCCCCCCGGAGCACTGCTTTACCGCATTATATCCGAATTCGTGTTATATCGGGTCGCATTATCTCGGGGAAGAGGTGTACCATGGAAAGAAAGAAAAAAACCTAGGGTAGAAAAGAATTCAGGTCTGTTCTGACTAGCAGCACCTGCGCCTTTTAAATCAAATTATACACTCCACTTAGGAGCTGTGGACACCTGGCAATCTGCCTGGGTGTGTGTTTGTGCACAGCACAGAACTGAGCACGCTTACAAATCTCTTTGCATCCCAAGAGATCCCATCTTTCTAGCTATCTTGAGGTTTTATACTGCTGCCCATCACCACAGTATCTGAACGCTTTCCCTGTAAAATCAGTAGCAATAATCTTCTCCCTAGCAGACTTCCAGGGGGCTCCAGCTCTGTTTCAGGGCAAAACTCTACTTGGGGGTATGGGTTTTCGATTTTTTCGTAGCATGTCAGTGCTGCGAGGTAGAAAGCATGTTAGTGCTGCGAGGGTCATATTTATGACGGAAAGGCCTTCTCAAAGAGGAAGGCTTTGCAAAATCTCCTAAAGATGGTCAAACTCTGGATTCACCTGATGTCCTCTGGGAGTTTGTTCCATAGCCAGATACCCTCGACCGAGAATGCTTCATCCCCACCTCTCACACACCTTTTCCTGGGCTTTGTGATCCGCATTGACCCAGAGGAGCGCAGCTGTCGTGGTGGTGAACAAATCAAAATTGATGTAGCTGGGGCATGATCTATTAATTGCTTTGAAACCCTCAGTAGTTCAAACATATACACACACCCTATACAAGGATATGGCCATCCACTTCCGGGGTGGAACATGGCAGCTCAACAATTTAGGACTGGAAGTGAAAAAGGCAGCATCCAGCTGAAACTACAAGGTAGGCAGGATGCAACAACCTGAGCTGGAATACGTCCAGAGTGGTGGGACTGACACTCTTATCCTTACAAAAAGGATGATGGGATCTTTAATGCCTACAAAAGGACCTTGGTTTTACATCTTATTTGAAAGACTGGTGAACTGTTTAGGCAGAGACAACAAAGCAATACTTACTGGAAGAAGGAAATTACTCTTGGCAGCTTGTATAGAATAAGCTCAGAGAAAGGCTCCAGTTCCCTTTATGAGGAGTTAGTAATACAGCACTGGGGGACAGGACAGTTAAGTACGTGTGAGCAAATCTTCATTATATCCTGGAGTCTTTCCACGTGCAGGATCAGACCCATAGGGTTTGAAAACTTGGACTACAGAAAAAAAATCCCTTAATCTCTCCACGGCTGGAAGGGAATGGCTTTTCGGTCACTGAAATGAATGAATGCAGAGGGGGCAATTAGAACGCCAGAGGTTAAGATATGTTTTTAATCCCTTTGCAACTCAGAAACTCTTATAGCAATAAGGGAAGAAAACAACAATCGGAGATTGCCCAGTGTGCTGGTGGCTACACAACACACTGTCCAATGGGGAGCAGGGGATTTTCTGATTTTGGCTCATGGTCCTGCTGCAGAGGCAGTGAGAGGGGTCCAATGGGAAAAGGTGCAAGTTGCACACACACACACACACCACCCCTTCCAGCTGACAAATGGAAACTGCATTAATTGGCTCTTGAGGCAGTTGCATTCAGCAGCCTCAGGTACAGAAGGAGGACTTCAGCAATAAAAGGGGGGAACGCATTTGAAAACGGAGAGACCCAAAAGGAACCTTCCCCACCTTCCATCCCTGAAGGAGCACAGGTTGCTGAAACGAAATCAGCATCTGTCCCAAAGCAGCCAGTGTAGTTTCTATATCTGCTTGGTGCACACTTTGGGGGTCATTTGGGGTAAAAGGAGCTATACAAATATGCAAGATAGTAACATCCTTTGGAAGACAGTGGTAACGTGAACAGGAAACCCCACCACAGAAGCAAAGCATAAAATTTACCTGTCCTTTTGGCTGGTCACCACTCTGTCAACTCCTAAGAAGTATGCAGAACGCAGCACTGCACCCAGATTCATAGGATCCTGTATCTGCTCCAGCACCAGCCAAATCAGCTGTGTGCCCAGACCAACCTGGGAAGCTTCAGCTTCTTCCAAGCTGCTAAGATGGAGAGGAGTGGCTTCTAAGCAAACTCCCTGGTGGACTCGACCTTTGCAAAGAGCATCCAGCACCTGCCTTCTGACATGGTGCACGGGGACCCCGCAGGCCTTAGCTTGTTGGGCAAACTCTTCCATCACAGGCCGTGCGCAGCTGCTGTCCGACTTGAGGAACAACTGGAAAAAGTCCCTCTTTGACTGCGAGAAAGCCAGGGAGCAGGGCGCAATGCCAAACAAGATCTCCGAACCTTTGGTCCTTTCAATGGACATAGGCTTTGGCACTGGTCTTTTCTGCTGTTTTGAAAAGTCATCCTCTCTCAGGTTCCTAAATTCCTCACTGGAAGATGCAGCCTGCTCAGTGCTGCTCTTTCTAGACTTCCACTGCCACCGCAAATTCTTCTGAGGGGCGAGGCCTTTATAGCTTTTGGGAGGAGGATGTGATTTGGGGATCACTCGTGCAGCAGCATCCCCAAGTCCCGATACTGGAAGCTGGTGGCTGCCGTGGTGCTGTGAATGTCCTTCATTCCCGAACCCCGCAGGTGATGAAGATTGCGATGGCTCCTTCTCCTGAGCCAAAAAATGTTTGACTGCCCGAAAATGACTGTTGCAACTAAAAGCAAATGAAAGTCTTGCAGTTTTCCAGATGTTGAACTTAAAGGTCTTCACCATCACCACCACAAAGGCCATTCTACCGCTCAAGTCTCCTCCCTCGGAACGGCTATCCCTTGAAAAAGGAGATAATGGGCTAGTTATGCAATATGGGTTAATATCCCACTAATATTTACAATTTTAAAACATGCTTATGATCAGAAAAAGGACTATTTACAAATGGAAACCTTACACTTAACTTCCACTCTACTCCCTGCCTGTGTTCCAAGTCATAGCTGCTCTTTGTTGACTAAAATAAGTTTTTAATATTAGCCTAATATGCTCACGGGAGAATGAGCTGGATTCCATTCTGACTCATGCATCACAAACAGAATTAGCTAAGTTCAAACTGCCGAATCTTTCACTGCTGGCCACATGTAAGCCACAGAAAGTGGCCCGCTTGACTCTCAAAATATAGTTAAATACTCTGGGCCAGATTCTGAGCTGGTGGAAACTGGTTTAGCACCATTCAAATAGAAGATGCTATGCCAATTTAGATCAGTTTATGATCTAGTCCTCTATCTCACCACTCCAGCCCACCTCAACCTCTGGCCAATAACATTAACTTATAGTCATGGTCAAGAATGTTCCCTGCATGATTTTCTTTTAAATACACATCTATATACTGCAAGCATTTGACTGTATCAACAGACTTAAGAAGCCATAGGTTGTGCCATGTCACATGAGAGAGTATTTCATAGATTTGCAATAAAGTTGTCATACTGAGTATTACCTGTCTACATCATATATTATTGATGATCTCCATGAAAGAAATATACAGAAGAATATATATATTATTTACAGCGATAAACTGAACTAGCAGAACTTGTTCACTGAATATAGTCTACTTTAGGTTCTTATATGGCTCCCATTGTCATACTGAACACCTTGCAAACTGTAACGTATTTATTATCACAATACCCTCATGAGGTAGGAAAGTCCTTTCTATTCTGGGCTCTCCCACTGGATGACCTTGGCCTAGTCACGTCCCCCTTCCATGCCTCAGTTTCCCCATCTGTAAAATGGGGGCTAATGATAATTACTTCCTTTGTAAAGTGCTTTGAGATCTATTGTTGAAAAGCGCTAGATAAGAACTAGCTATTATTATTATCCCAATTTTCCAGATGGGGAACTGAGGCACAGAGAGGCTAAGTGACTGTTAAACAGGAAGCTTGTAATAGAATAGGAACATGACGCAAGGTTTCCCACGTTCTAGGCTTATATCCTAACCACTGGACCATCCCCATTCCCCTCTTGGACACAGCTTTATTAGTTAATATATTGCGACAGACATAAAAACAATAAGCAGGGCTGAGCACCCAGCTGCACCAAGTCTGCAGAGATCCTCGCTGCAAACACGTCAGTCATCTTCAGTGCTTGCTGCTGTTGCAAACCGGAGCACCAACGCATTAGTCTGCTATCCAGTAGCATTACAAGAAGATGGAAACGAACAGCCTCCAGGGGGGAAGAAGAGTGGGTTTTAGGGCTGACAGGGCCGGGGCTCCAGGGCGCTCCGTTCCATTCCCAGCTCTGCCGTGGACTTCCTACGCGACTCGGGGCAGGTCCTAGTCTCGCTGCCTCAGTTGCCCGTCGTCTGTCCCAAGGAGGCCGCTTCGCTGTGTCACCGGGGCGGTGGGGCAGGGGATGCCCAGGCAGCGCGGGTGACAGGGGGCCTGTGAGTACAGTGGAGACGGGGCTTGTGAGGGAGAAAACGAGAACGGGACCCACCTCCGGGCGGCTGCGCCGGGCTGACGCTTTCTCCCCGCGGGTGAGGTGGGTTCCGCCCAAACCCCAGGAGGGAAACGGAGTTTTGCGGGGCTAGAAAAACCCACGTGCGCAGCGGGGCGGTCCCGTCCCCACCGCCCCCCAGGCGCGTTACCCGCGGGCTCTGCCCGGGGGAAGGGAGCCGGGCCTGGGCGCCGGGGGCAGCGCAGAGGGGGGGGGCGACCCGCAGGGAAGCGGCTCCAGTCTCCCCGGGCTGGGGGAGGGGTCACCCAGACCCCCGCCCCCCCCAGCGGTGACCCCTCGGCAGCAGCCCGGGGGGGGGGGCTGAGGACTCAGCAACTCCCCCCCTCCCCCCGCACCAACCTCCGCCTCCTCCCCTGGGCGCCCCCAAACACACGCCCCTACCTCACACTCCACTTCCGGGTCCGCGCGCCACCAGCGAGAGGAGAGGACAGCGGGGCGCCCTGCGCTGCAGCGCCACCTGCTGGTAGGCGTTGTCCGGTGCAGAGCGTGCCCGTGGTGGGCGGCCTGGTGGCGTGGGCGGCTGGGGTCACTCAGGTCTCTAGGGGCAGCTGGGCAGGGGGCACCAGTGCTGCAGCTCAGCTGCGCCCTGGAGGTTGCCCGGGGGAACCAATGCGCCCTGCATGCCCTGCAATGTGCTGGCGCAGCCCGAGAGCGCCAGTGCACGCCCCCAAGGATCTCCCATGGTGGGGTCACCCTGCATGTGCCCTGGAGTGGGCCGGCCAGCATGTGCTCTGTGCCCAAGAGAGCACCATTCCCTGCAGATAGCCATATCCCAGAGGAGTGCCCCATCCCCGGCAGGGCGTCTGCGGGCCCGCTAGGGTGACCAGATAGCAAGGGTGACAAATCGGGACCAGGGATGGAGGGTAATTGGCACCTATATAAGACAAAGCCCCAAATATCAGGTCTGTCCCTATAAAATGGGGACATCTGGTCACCCTAGGGCCCACCCCTGCCCGGCAGCTGTGCCCGGAGGCTGGGAATAATTATGCTGACTCTGGCAGATGCTCAGGCCCCATGGCCGGAATATCAAAGTGAAAACAGCACCTTGGCAGCGTGCTCTGAGAGGAGAGACCTTGCCTGGCACCTGCAAATTTGCCTGCTTGCCCCACTCAGGAAAATTCCCCCCACCACCACCACACCATCTCACGATGAGCACAAGCTTTTGACTCCGATCCACCTACTGTGGCTTTAGTTGCACACGAAATGATTCCACGGCCTGAGAGAGAGAAGCTTATTTTGTAAAGACATCATTTATGATGATGATTTTCTATCCTTTATTGTATGGATTAGTTTGTATTACAATAGCACTTTGAGACCCCAACGGCAATCAGAGCCCCCTTGCGCTAGGTGCTCTGAGACAGTCTCTGCCCCAAAGAGTTTCCATTCTACATAGACAAGACAGCTAAAGGGGAGACAGAGGCAGAGAGGTGAAGTGACTTGCCAACGTCACTCAGCAGAGCTGGGAGGGGTATCCAGGTCTCCAGCTTTGCTGATATTTTCTTGGAAAAAGTAACTTCTTGGCAATTATTACGGCCCTTCTCTGTAAAGTGATGCATGTCTTCAGAAATTCCCCAAAACAGGGACCAGCTCTTTATCTGTCCTAGTTTGACAACTTGATATCATTTCCCCCAGTGTCAAGCGAACCTCGGACATGGGAGAGAATGGGCCAAGTTGCTAAAGATGTTTGATTCCTTGGTTGCCAGCAGAGGGAGCTTGGCTTCTACCAATACACAGAAAACCTCCTGATAAACAATGTTAAAATCCAATTAGGGTAAAGAGATGCTTGACAAGGCTGACAGTATAAACAAATCTTACAGAGCCAAATTCATCCCAGGTGTAATTCCATTGGCTTCAGTGAAATCTGGCTCAGTCTTGTGCTTGAAAATGCACATTTAAAAATGCAGCTTCTTCTGCTAAAGATCAAACGTCTCAGCTCCTCTCAAAGAAAAAGCTGCAATAGTTTTAAAATGCCAGCTCGCGGCTTGGGCGTGGCCTGCTGCTAAAAGCACAGTGATGATGGACTAAGGTTGCCACTTTTCAGATCTCCGGATTTGCCATGTCCTGATACAAGATAGTATGTTACATGATCAGGTGAGACTGTGTCATGACGTCAGAAGGCGGTGGCATCACATACTGATACAATTTGGTGACAGAGACCTCATCTACAATAGAAAGTTGTACCCTTTAATAAACCTGTGTAGGCAAAGCAGTGGAACCTTCCTCCCGTGGATTCAGTAGAAAGGACCTTTATACTGGTATAGCTATTTTCATACAGGAAGGGGAATAACTATACCAGTCTAATGCAACTTTATAATGGTATAACTCTACCTAAACTACAGTTATACCAGGATAAATCACACTCCTAACAGACATAGTTATATTAGTACAACTTTCAAGTGCAAATCTACCCCTAGTGTCATTTGAGTCACAAAACTGTTACAGTATCAGAGGGACTGGATAGTGTGCTACAAGCAGAGCTTTCAGGATGTGGGATTGATTGGACAAAATCTAGGCTGTCCCACAAATTCTGTGATACATGGCAGGTGTGTGCCCTCAATGTGCCATCCTGCTCTCCTGCCAGTTTGCGTTCTCTGGCACTCGAAAGCAATGCACATCCTGCTTTCTGACGCTGAGAAAGCAGAGTGACAGCTGGTTATGTACAGTCACAACCCAGCAAGTCCTTGTGCTCAGGATACTTCTACAACAATAATACTCTATGTGGACCTTCCATCCAAAGATCAGGTGGAGCATTGAGGAGTGGGATGGGTGTACATGTAGGGGGGAAAGGGGAATTAAGTGTTTCTTTCAATGAGCTGCAGGAGCCTGGAGACAGGTTAAGGGTTTTGCTCTAGATTACTGTTGTTAATAACTCGTTATAATTAATGATGGTCTCATTAGAACATTCCCACAGGAGCCCAGGGTCTGCCTGACGCACTTGCGCCCCCAGTAACAATCACCTTCTAATGAGTGCTCTGTCTGCCTTTCCCTCTAAGGCATGTTGTTTAAATATTACAAGAGGGCGGGGAAGTGACTCTCCTCCTATCTCTAATAATCAAAGATATTTGAATAAGGCCTTGCAGCAGAGCTCAGTATGTAGCACTAGACTCAACGTAGGCAGAGAGCTCATGGAAGGAGCTGTCCTACAAACACTCAGTCACAGTCCCCCTGGGCTGCATTGTTGAAAACAGAAGCAAAGTCTGTATTTTTGCTAGTCATCCACACCCCCTCTGTTGCGCAGCCAGTGGAGCAGCTGTCCTCGCAGCACTGCTGAGCCGTTATGGTGCCCAGACGCAGACTGGGAGGATCTACAGAAAGAGACATCCTAGGTTCAGAGCTGCAGACTCGCTTTGTTTTCTCCTCCAGGACAGGAGGTTCTAGAAACAGAAGGAATCTTTGCACGCTAACTGCAGTGTCCTGGGGACATCGCCCTCTGGATTTCTGCTACAGGAACAGACCAAATCAATCTTTGCTGCTGCCTTCTCCCCCCAGATTACTTGTGATGTTCAGTGCAGTTAAGGCTGAGACTGCAGCATATAAGGATTACAAATAACCTAGCTGGGCTGAGGGCCTGGAAAGGCGCCATTCTGTCCCCTGGGGTCTGTTTTCTTGATGGTTCTGCCTACGCACTCTTCACAATTGCTTATGCCGCATTCCGAGGCACCACAGGAGGCCATTACTCCACATTTCTTCATGGCTCCTAGTCAGGGGCATCTGACATGTTTTCTTGTGTTATATTTATTACATTTGCTATTTCTTTGGAGTGCTGGTGAGAGCCCACCTGTCGGTGTAACTTATGTCACTCAGGGGGGTGGTGTTTTTACACCCCGGAGTGACATAAGTTATACCAATAAAAGTGCTAGTGTAGACATACCATAGACACTGATGTCCAGTAGTTAGCCAACGATATGGGACTCAACTTACCCCTCTGTAAAATGAGTATAATACCATTTACCTAGGTGTTGTGAAGCTTAATTAATGCCTGTAAAGGACTTTGATGATGTGAAGAGAGGCAACACCATCTAGAAGAACAAACCCAGTTCTAATCCAGGCCCGGCCACTGACTGACTTGGCCATCTCTTTTAACCCCTCATTTGTTCCATCTGTATTATGGGAACGATACTACTTGCCTCTCTGGGATGTTTGGAGCACTAACTCATGTTTGTACAGTACTTTGAACATGGAAAGAGCTGAGTGTTAGTTTTTGTAATAATACACTATCCGCAGTGTGCATAAAGGCAAATGTACTTTCATTGATTATGTGTGTTCAGGAACAGCAGCAGCTTGGATGGCGTACGTACACACTTCAGCTCGCAAGCTGCACTTCTGCACCAAGTATTTAGATCCAAATCATCAAAGGCATTTAGGCACCTAACTCCCATTTCCCACCCTGCACTGTCCCAGAGCCCAGGCTCCCGCCCGAGGCCAGAAGTTTACACAGCAGTGAAACAGCCCCACAGCCTGAGCCCTGTAACCCCAGGTCAGCTGGCATAGGCTAGCTGCAGGGTTGTCTGTGCTGTGAAGACATACCCCTCGAACTCTGCAGATGGATAAAACTGCAGGTGTGAATGACTGCACAACGTGATCGTAGAAGGTGCTACTTCTGTTACACTTTGCTTGTGACCCAGAGACAACACATGAACCACCCAGGTGGAGTAGGGTTGTGATTGAACCAATGGCAAGGTAACTGAACAGAAGAAAACAATTCCTTGGCC